ACAATCCGGTTGCCGGTCGCAGTACGGGCGTGACACTGAGGGTTGCGATCCCGTTACCAGTCACGAAAAAAGACAAAAAGGGAAAAAAAAAATTCTTGGTAACAGCTACTACTTAGCAATCATCATGGGCTAGCCAATCTGCTCAAAGCTTAACTCAGCACATCCGCCAAGAACCCTGTTTGTCAGGCACTGGTACCCTATTCCAGCAGAGGGAAGAGGCTTAGAAAGGGAACATCCAAATTCCAAACTGGGATCTCCAGTTCCAAAGTCCAGCTCATTAACCCCTGATCAGACAGCCTCTCTGCTTTGGTTCAAAAATAGTTTCAAAACTGTTCTGGAAGGCAGAGAAGGAAACTGATCCAAAAGGCTTGTAAGTTATCCATAGACACATTCCATAAAATTAATAGAATCGATCAACAAAGTAAATCAATAAAGGGTTCGCTGGGACAATGGCATCTTCAGCTAAACTCGGTTCAGCTTTATTTGTTGACTGCACCTCTGCGTGCCTTGTGCCACAGTAGGGGTTTTATCGTGGGAGGCACTGAATGTTTACCAGGCCCTGCCCTCAGAAGATAACTGCCTTTAAGAAAAGATGAAACATATCCCTGGTGAAACCCAGGGCAGATCCAGGTTTTGTGGGGCCTGAAAAGTCTACAGTTTGGAGGACCTATTTAAGAAAAAGTATACAGAGGCATATTACTATCGCAAATGTTACAGAAACATAGACCCTATGAGCACATGAATAGGACCCCTCCAGGCACCGCTGTGTTGTGAGGAGCTCTGAGCTCAAGCTGTACCAGCGTCACAGCAAACCCACCTTGGCACGAAACACACAACACATAGGACCAGGCGCGCTCATTGCGAACATTCATGGAGCTCAGCTTCAGGCCTGCAAAGGCTCAACCCATGGCCCCCGTCCCCAGAGAACAGCCACAATGAAGGCCTAAGCTGGGTGTGTGCATGGACGTCAGACGGCCTGGTTCCAATCCTTCTCCCATTGTGTGAAGCTGCGCAGCCTTGGGAAAGTCATATGACCCCACCGAGCCTCACCTTTAGAACAGGGATAGTAAGTAAGGGTTATATGGTAGAATGTACACCTGGTGTCTGGCACAGCATAAAAGCTCAGATAATGTTAGCTGCTATTACTATGGGTAACTCCCCAGGATGTTAGACCTCTCAGTGGAATGCCTGCGCATCCCCAGCTGCTCCTGCACCCCCACTCTGCCCACGGACGGCACTAGCAGACTGCAGGAGGGGCTGCCCAGCTACCCCCCAACGCTGCCATAGTCTTAGGCAAGTTCTCTGATCTCTCCGAGTCTCGGAGAATTACACCCACCTCATGGTGGTGAGACCTAACTGAGATAAACGACTTGACAGTAAACGACCTGGAAGCCTGGATGGTCTCCCTCCTCGGCCACACTGCCCCGGGGCTGCCCTCAGCCCGGCCCGTGGCTCTGGCTGCAGCCAAGGTCAATGACTCTCAGACTAGCACCTCCGGCCCACCCCCAGCCCCCACGCGACTTCTCCAATGCCCATCTCAAGATGTGACATCCACAGCCAAACTCCAGATGCCCACTCCCAAACCCACCACCCCAACCCGACCTTCCCGTCTCAGCAAGTGGCAAGCCCATCGTTTCCAGATGTGAAGGCCCAAAACACACCCCCTCCTCTTTGTCTCAGGCCCCATTTTCAATCCTCAGCAAATCTGGCATCTGATCACTCTTCCCTGTGACCCGAACCCCCTCGTCTCTCACCCGGGCTGTTGCAGTCACCTCTACCTGCTTGCCCAGCATCTACCCTTGAGCCCCAGCATCTCCAGGGTCTGTCCTCCACCAGTGCCTGGGGAGCCTTTCAAAACCTGAGCTGAGTCATGTCACTACTCTGTCTTCCAGAGGCTTCCGAGTGAATCCAGAACAGAGCCCAGAGCCCCTGTTGAATCTACATGGCCCCGTGGTCCGACTCCTCTCCCACACAGGCCACTCCGGCCTCCTTGACGTTTCTCCAGCATTCCCAGAGCGCTCCTACCCCAGGGCCTTTGAACTTGCTGCTCCCTCCAGGAATTCTCCTCCCAGGTGTCCTCTACCACCTTCCATCTCTCCTCACCTGTCACCTTATCAGGGAGGCCTTTCCTGATCCCCAAAATACCATCCTCTCTCTGTTACCCTCTGACCTCTTAACCAGCTTCAGGTTTTCTTGTTTTTTTTTTTAAATTAACTAATTTGTGTGTTTATTGTTTCTCCCACTAAATGTTAGCTCCATGAGGGCAGGGACTCTATTTTATTCAGTGATGTACCCCCAGCTCCTAAAACA